CACGATTTCAGGGTCCTGGAATGGAACCCTGCATCAGGCTCTCTGCTCAGCAGGAAGTCTGCTTCCCTGTCTCTCTCTCTCTCTGTCTGCCTCTCTGCCTACTTGTGATCTCTTTGTCAAATAAATAAATAAAATCTTTAAAAAAAAAAAGAAGCTTGTTGACTTTAGCAATTAAAAGACTGTGTTTTTGAAAGTGAGTAAATGTATATTTAGGCATTCTTACTTTCTGTGGATTGTACTTGGACCATGAGAATGGCTGCAGTCCAAGGTAGCTACAAATGGCCAGACACGAAGCCTTAGGGTGCTGGGAATGAAGAATGGAGAAAATCTGAAATGAAAAAAGAAAGCTGAGTGCTACCCATCAGAAGTGAGGATTCATTCACTAACTATTCTCGCAGCACCTCAGCCTGAGGAAACAAAGACCTTTCCCAAGGCCCTAAAACAAAGGCCAAAGAAGTGTAAATTAAAAGGAAAGATTTCTCAAAGCCAAGAAAACCAGTGTGCCAGCACAATTTAAGTGTTTTTCATGCATTAACTCAGGTGCTTTGTCTAACAAGCTAATGAGTCCTATAACACCATCCCCCCACCCACCCTGAACTGCAATGTAGAAACTGAGGCACTGAGAACTTGCTGGAGGTCATTAAGCTAGAAAGAGTTGAAACTGAAATTTAAACACAAAAAAAGCCTGACTCCAAAATCTGATCTACACATTATTTGACATATAAAAGCAGGGTTTCTGAGTATCTTCAGAAAACAAGCCAAAAATTATTCACGAAGAGTCAATACAAAATGAAAGTCATTGTGTAAAAATAAAACATGTCTATTATTTTCAAACTACTACCTAGAATCCTTTCTTTAAAAAATCTGCATTCATTTGCAGCGTTTCTGACCTGACAGTTCACAACAATGAGAGATGGGAGTTTCTCCTTGCTACCACATTCTGCTTTGGCCTTAAAAGTGTTTTTAACTCTTTTCTTTTAAAGTGAAATGTTAATGAGTCCTTAATTGTCAGAGGACTTCATAAATATTCATTAAACATCAAGAGAATTTGTGTTTCCTTTCCCGAAAAGCTAAAAGAGAAAACAGTTAAGACTTCAAAATGGAATAAGCATGCAGAAAGTCTAAGCAGACTTATAAACTTTTGGTTTTGTCTTAGATGTTTATCTGAATTGTTCACATCATTAGAAAACTTTAAAAAAAATTCTTAGTGTAGAGATACTTGGATACTTTTATTTTTGCTCTTATAAGAAGTTCTCCAGAGTATCACCTCTGTTGGAGATATTTCCATTTTTATCTTTCATCTACTTCTGAATGATCCAAAACATTACACCAACTCTTCACGCTGCCTTCTGCACCACTGAACAGTAAAATGGTTATGATGATGGGAGGAAATGATTTTGATCTAAATCAACAGGGCAGGCCCAGCTATTTTGAAAGAGCCACAAACCTTCTTCATAAAAAAAAGGGGGGGGGGTTCACATTAGATTTGAGTCTTCAAAGAAAGCAATGACAAAGTCTTGTATTTTACACCAATCCTACACAGCAGGTCAGGGAATATTATCACACAAATAGCTTCCTCCTGATGAAGCCACAGCCTCAAATATTTCCTAGGTGCCAAAGTAGGGAGATGACCACCAGGTATCAAGGCAAGACCAGTTTTCCCAAGGTCAGCTCGGCAAATACAGAAGGTCTGGCAAGTCAAATATTAACTCACAGAGAACGAATCTCTCAAAAACCCACCACATCTGATTCTTACTAAAGCAGGCTAAAAAAGTACCTATAAAAGAAGAATAAATAATGTTTGCTATTTCCAGACGTACAGCAACAATTTTTCCCCTTTTCTCTTAACATTTCTTTTACATCCTCAACCAAGAGAGATAAACATATAGCTTTCCATAAAGTTATGTCTATAAAGTCTACGCATTATGAAAGTAGCTACCTTGTCATTAATCTTGTAACTATAAATAAGAGACACACCAGTCACATTTGGAGAAAATAAGACATTGATGTCGAGAAAATTAAAATGTTTACTTAATGGAGTCGCTAGTTCTATAATTTCCAACATGAGCCAAATTCAGAATTATTAAATCATTTAAAGATTTTTCTTAACTTTTAAATTTAAAAACAATCAGATTTTTGTTTTGTATGTGACTCTAAAGTGTCTAAATAAGCCAAATACACTTACAGATATATTTTTTTAATCTTTTCAGCATTCCAAGATTCATTGTTTATGCACCACACCCAGGGCTCTATGCAAGCTTGCCCTCAGACTCACCCATCCCCCTACCTCCTCCCCTCCAAAACCCTCAGCTTGTTTTTCAGAGTCCACAGTCTCTCATGCTTTGTCTCCCCCTCCGATTTACCCCAATTCACTTTTCTTTTCCTTCTCCATGTTACTCCTTATGTTCCACAAGTATGTGAAACCATAAGATTGACTTTCTCTGCTTGACTTATTTCACTCGGCATAATCTCCTCCGGTTCCGTCCATGTTGATACAAAAGATGGGTATTCATCCTTTCTGATGGAGGCATAATACTCCCATTGTATATATGGACCATTATCTTCTTTATCCATTCCTCTGTTGAAGGGCATCTTGGCTCTTTGCAGAGTTTGGCAACTGTGGCTATTGCTGCTATGAACACTAGGGTACAGATGGCTCCTCTTTTCACTGCATCTGTATCTTTGGGGTAAATACCCCAGTAGTACAATTGCAGGGTCATAGGGAAGCTCTATTTTTAATTTTTTGAGGAATCTCCACACTGTTTTCCAAAGTGGCTGCACCAACTTGCATTCCCACCAACAGCAGAAGAGGGTTCCCCTTTCTCCACATCCTTTCCAACACCTGTTAGTTCCTGTCTTATTAGTTTTGGCCATTCTAACTGGTGTAAGGTGGTATTTCAATGCCATTTTGATTTGAATCTCCCTGATGGCTAATGATGATGAACATTTTTTTCATGTGTCTATTAGCCATTTGTATGTCTTCTTTGGAGAAGTGTCTGTTCATGTCTTCTGCCCATTTTTTGACATAATTTATCTGTCTTGTGTGTGTTGACTCAGAGTTCTTTATAGATCTTGGATATCAGCACTTTGTCTGTACTGTCATTTGTGAATATCTTCTCCCATTCCGTGGGTTGCCTCTTTATTTTGTTAACTGTTTTCTTTGCTGTGCAGAAGCTTTTGATCTTGATGAAGTCCCAAAAGTTCATTTTGGCTTTTGTTTCCTTTGCCTTTGGAGACATGCCTTGAAAGAAGTTGCTGTGGCCCATGTTGAAGAGGTTACTGCCTATGTTCTCCTCTAGGATTTTGACAGATTCCTGCCTCACGTTGAGGTCTTTTATCAATTTTGAGTTTATCTTTATGTATGGTGTAAGAGAATGGTTGAGTTTCATTCTTAAAAAGACAGTCGCTTCAATAAATTGTGTTGGGAAAACTGGACACTTACCGATTCTTAAAATGGTCATTGCCTTGTATTTCTCACTCCCTGAAATCTGGATGGGACTGGGTCCAGGTGGGGTAAAGGCAGTCCTTACATACTCATAAGAATATAAAAAGCTATACTTTGTGGCTAAATAATTGTGTTTATAAGGATGCTCCTTGCTTTTTTAAATAAAAAAATAAAATAAAAACTTTGTTAACCTACCACGTCCAGTAAACAGAAACACCGTATACTGCCTGAATTCAGAAAGACATAGCACAAAATAGCTCACAATTGTGATATAAGAATAAAATAATGCAACTTGGGGACAAAAAAAATACTAAAGAATGTTTTTTGTGCTATCTACTAGATGAGTATTTTAACAGAGTAAGTTTATATTGATTCATTACTTTATAATTATACTACCAACTTCATGATGAGTATATATTTTGACATAAACAAATAAAAAAGGAATAAGAGAGAAAAAACAAGTATATGCTTTTCTTAATGTCTATTTAATAATTTAAAATTCAGAATAAGAAATTCAATTCTGTCCCATGTAGTTTGCTTCAATATACATGAAAAATGTCTTGGGAAAGAATGTAAACTGAAAAAACTTGTAGGTTTTTTTTCTTGATTTTATAATACTTTATTTTGGTCTTACTAAGGGTTACCTGCCCCCTGTCTTCTATTTTAGATTCTCAAAATGTCTTGCCTTATGCTGAATCTACAAAGCTGTGTTTAAAATGTTTATTGATTAAGTGAATTTGAATAGATTTAATATAAATTATTGTGATAGTTAATTTTAAGTGCCAATTTGACAGGGTCAAGGGGTGCCCAGATATCTGGTCAAACATTATTCCAGTATTTCCATGAGGGTATTTTGGGATGAGCTTAGCATTTCTACTGACAGACTGTGTGAAGCAGATTGGCCTTTCTAATGCGAATGATCCTCACCCAATCACTTGAACACCTAAATAGGACAAAAGAGTGGACTCTTCCAAATAAGAGAGTTCTTCCTGCCTTCAAGCTGAGGCAGGTTTTTTCTGCAAGCAAACTCAAAGTGAAACATCAGGTCTTTTGAGGTCTCAAGCTTGCCCAGCTTTCCGATGGGAACTACACCACTGGTTCTCCTGGGTCTCCAGCTTCCAACTACACATCTTGGGACTTGGTTCTGGTGCTACAGAGAACGCTAATATGGTTTTTGTTCATTTTCACAGTTTCTGTCAATACCCAGGCTTCTTGTAAGTAAATATGAAAGGTTCTTTTAATTAAACATGAAGTCTCTTAGCTCGTCGAATTGTGGTTCTTAGAATTTCTTCCAGCTAATGAAGAATTATAATTTTAAATATAATTTCAGCAACACAGCTGAAATCTCATGTATGTATTCAGAATCTATGCTCTACTGATAACAATTTAGGCAGTGTAGCCCCTAATGTCTCTGTTCCCTGGGGAGTACCCAATCATGCTAAGACTATGAGATCTTTAACATCTTATTATTGTAATGTAAAGTGTCAACATGAGATTAAATAGCAAGGATTCAATTCAAATAACAAGATTTTGTCCAGAGCTAAGGTGTACTCACCAACTATAAGATGATCACAGATCAGACGTGATTTTGTTTTCATTTCTGTAAATTTCCTTGGGCAGTATCTTTCCCATCCCCACTGGCCTAGAGATTTGTATATAGTAATCTTTTCCAATAGTGTTGGCCCCTTGGGAAATCAAATTGTTTAATAAACTTCTAGGTTGAAAACCAGTTCCAAACACTCAACTCTCTACTAAATAAGGTAATAAAAAGCACCAGAGGTATAAAAGCTATTGGCAAAAATCTAAGCTTCAAAATACATGAAAAATGTTGGTGAAGAACATACCCACATAAAATTTGTATTACTAAACAGACAAACATATTTCAGAAATCTTACTTGAAACATCTAGACACTTTTTATTACATGCATTCTGGATATTTTACTAAAGAACTTACTCATTTCCGGTGAGTAAAGGGGGAAAAAAATACTTCAACATGTTTTCAATAAAAGAAGATGGCTGTGAAAGTAAAATATGGAGTTTGAGGCTGGCCAGGACAAGCTCAAGGTAAATTCCTTTTACTCCAGAGGTACTCAGACACATCATCCTAAGATAAATGCCCTTTTCATTCTTTCAAAATGTGCCAATAAAAATGAATCAAGGAGATGATATTTTTTTCTTTTTTTCAAGGTTTTCTCATTCTCATTTTTTTCTAAAATAATCAAGGAAAGAAATAGTGACCATAGTTAAGAACTCCTCTGCTTATACAGGAACACAGAGTAATAAATGGGTTTTCCTTGTTTGATTTTTGTGAGGGTACTACCTCAAGCTACAACTCCCTTATTAACTCTAGTTAATCCCCAAGTACCCTTTTCTGAGCTCCAGTCCTACCCAGTCAAAGGACTCTTGGGTCTCTAACATTTCATGCTATAAGCAGTCTTGCTGGTACACCAAACTCAACATATTTAAATATGAAGCTCTCCTTCCTCTTTCCTGAAGCCTCTACATCCTATCACCTCCCTAAGTCTGCTCCACCTTCAGCATCTCTCTGATGACTCTGATGAGGCCAACATCCTCCCAGCTGCCAAAACCAAAACCCGAGACGCTGCGTAGAGGCAACCCTCTCTCGTATCCGTCATATACAATCCATCTACAACACAACATTCTACTCTTCTAATTTTTCTGTCATCTTTTCTTAACTCTCCACTGATGCCCTTAAAAGATGACAAGTGCAGCCCTCATTATTTCTTACCTGGTTGCCTGCCATAAGCTCCTAATCTCTGTTCTCTAGACCTATCTTCCTTCAACCATCTTTACATTTTTCTAAAATACTTCTACTTTCTAAAATATTCATTCATTCACTTGCTTAACACAATAGTTATTTATTGAGCACCTACTGGGTACCAAGGCTCTGTGGTGGCCCCAAGGATGGAACAGTGGAAAGAAACAGACACAACTCCCTGCCTCAACAAAGCTTATAGTTACCAAAGGGAAAGAGAGAGTAAGCAAAATAAACCTGAAAGCATATTAATTATGCTAGGTGCTGTGGTGAGAAACAAAGCATGGAAGGCGGATAGAATATGCTGGGAGTGGCTGTTACTTTAAAGTGGATGGCCAGAATTTCCTCACTGCGGAAGTAATTTTTGAGAAGGGAGGGAGCTATGAGGTGGGAGAGTGCTCTAAAGAGAGGACAGAGCAAGCAAGAGCTCTGAGCTGGAAGGGCAGCTGGAATCCTTGAGGAATAGGAGGTGCCAGCTTATCCTGCACCAGGAACACTAGTAGGAAGTGAGGTCAGAGAGGAAGTGGGGCAGATCCTAGAGGGTCTTGCTGGATAAAACACTCACTCGCTGTCCTGAAAAAAGATTATGGAGGGCCAAAATAAAAGTACCAAGCCAGTTAGAAAACTGCTGTTTTCTTGTTGAGACAAGCACTGACTGTGGTTTGATGGCTGGTAGTGGCAGAGGTGACAGGAAGTGGTCTGGCTGAAGATACATTTTGAGGGTACTACCATGACCTTAGTCTCCCAGAAAGGTAGCACCTAAGACAACTGTGTGCTCCAAGGTAGTTTACTTGGGAATGTCATCCCAGGAAACAGGAGTACAAGACCCGGGCTAAGAAATAGAGAGGGGAAAAAAATGGCGATTTGAGAATGAGTTATCTAGTTCACCCACACTAAAAGTATTATGACATGAGTTTCAGCGTATCCATCCTGGGGAATTAAGAAGTGCTTCTCCCTCAGCTCCTGTCCCCCATTGGTCATGTCTGGCTGCCCACAGTCGCAAGAGGATTCTGAAGTGGTACACAGGGGTGCACAAAAAAGACATTATTAAAATAACTGTCAGATGGACTGTATGTTTTATATGAGAGATAATGAAAAGTTAAGGATAATACCAAAGGTCTTTCCCTAATAGATTACAAGGATGGAACCGCCATTAACTGAAAAGGAAGACAATGGGAAATACGATTATGTTAACTCCTCTTTCAAAGCCAGTCATGGATCTACACAATCCACTGGAAGAATGTAAGTGCTTCCTATCTGGGTCCACACACCCCCTCATCTTCTGTCCCCTGCTTACAATCTCGAATTAGCCACTCACTACCCCTCACCTCCAATGCAGTAGTTAACACTAAACTCGGCCATCCTCTGGTTACCCCATGCCCTCCTCGGTCTCTCTGAGATTTTGGTCACATTGGTTCCCTCTGTGTGGAATCTCTTCACTTCCTTTCTTTGCCCAGATAATTCCTTATTAACCTTTAGTTGCCAACTTAGTTGTTACCTCCTTTCAGTCAGATATACATCTATTTGTTCCCAAAGTATTCACTGTATTTGTCTGCCTCCCCTCCAGAATGTGACCAGGGAATATTTTCCTTGAGCTCACAGAGCACATGACAATACTGGAAGATACTAGGTGTACAATAAAAGTATGATAAATGAAGGTATAAATTAATGGCTTCTCCAAGTCACTGTATATTTATTTATATTTAGCTACAATATCCATGCCTCAAACCATCTTTCCATATTAACTATTTCAATATTTTAATATACCATCTCATCTTCTGAGACAATGAAAATTATGCCCAAAGTCATATCAGTATTTAGTAATGGGTCAACAATTAAAATTCAATTTTTCTGATTCCTATCAGAAAAGGCTACTGCTTTTTCCCACCAAATCCTGGACAGGACCCAAGTCTAATATGTTCTAAGATATATTATAGGATTAAGTTGCTGAAGAGTAGAAATACCTACTGCATTTTAATACCAATTTGCCATTTAAACATAAAAATAAGACCATCTGGAAGTAAAAGAAAATTATTCTAGAGAATCTTAAATCTTAATGACTCTTAAGAAGAGGTATAATATAATCTGATTTTATGCAGTTGGCCCCAAGTCTGCAGACTTAGAGGTAAAAGAATTTTTTCAACATGTCTATTATCTACAGGACTAAATGATATATTTAGTTAATGCTATTCATACAAAGCAAAGACCAGCAAACTTCTAATAGTACCTTCTTGGCTTCATTCCATTTTAATTCTGATGGAAAATGTGAGCACATTAGTTTTAGATTCAATATAAGTTTCTATCCGGTAACCTTCTTGGCCAACTAGATTTTCTAAACCTAGTCCTTCTCACTTGGAACAAATGTGTTATTCCAGAAGATGCCAACACATCATGTGTTACTGATACATAATGAGATTAAGAGGAAAAAATGAAAACACTTAAAATGCAAAACATACTTGGGAAAGAATTACACAGTAAAGTGACCCAGGGAATGCCCTCAGCAATTTTCTGAAATTATTTGGATAATATCTTCAGGATTTAAGAGTACACCTAGGTCTTATTAAATCTGTAATATGTTCTAAGTTTAGGGAATAGAATGGCATACAAAAGAAAGCATCATTCTATAATTTCCAGTGAATAAAAAATTACTTGTCTGAAACTTCTGAAGTCCTATTAAGTCATTAAACAACTCTCATATTAAGTTACAAGAAAGTACAAACTAATATACCCTTCTGAATGAGATCACCAAACATTGTGGCATTTTTATACTTTCTAAACTAAAATTCCTTTTTTAAAAAATTGTGTTATGTTAGTCACTATACAGCACATCATTAGTTTTTGACGCAGTGTTCTGTGATTCATTATTCGCGGGTAACACCCAGTGCTCCATGCAATCCTACCCATCACTAGGCTCACCCATCTCCCCCAACCCCCTCCCTTCTAAAAGTCTCTGTTTGCTTCCCGGAGTCCATAACTAGAAAAGCAAGGCAGAAGACTCTACTATCTAACTAAAACACTCGTCATTCCATAACTCTGCTCACACATCATCCACAAATTTCCACTGCATGTGGGATAAAGTTCAAGTTTACTCACCAGCAACATAATGTAGTCCAGTGGTTCTCAAACTTTAGCCACACATCAATATAACCTGGAGGGCTTGCTGAAACACAGATGTCTGGACCCATCCCCTGAGCTTTTTGATTCCATCAAGCTGGGGTAGGACCCCAAAATTTACATTTCCAATAGGTTCCCATGTAATGCTGAGGCAGGGACCACAATGTGAAAACTACTATCCAGCAACAATCTAGTTTTTGTGTGCTAATGGCCACACCCCCACGTAAAATTTACATCTTTTGATTTTTGTTTAAACTGTTCCAAATGTTCTTATATTTATGGGTTCTGAAGTTAAAAGAAAGAACTCTTACTTAACCTGTACTCTACAGGGCAACTGCATTTCAACTGTATTTAAATGCTGCCCCAACTATAGTCCAACTTACCCTGAATCAGCTTCAGCATCACTTGTTATTCAGACTCTGATGCACAAACCTCAAGGCCCAGAGGTCGTTTTCCCGCCCTCATGATGGTCATGGCCCTGAGTGGGAGAAGCATGAAACAATATTCTGGGAAAATGTTTTTGTTATGACTATGAGCTCCTCCTATCTGAGAAGGGCTTGTCAGTGTGGGCAATTTCCCAACCACCCTAACCCCATGACCGGAAAGACATTTCTGCTAGTTAACAAGTAGAAAAGGAATGGGCACCTCTGATTCAGGCATGAGCCCTCCTGGACTATAGGCATGCTCTCTTTCCCCCAAGTCAATCTTTTAATCTACATAGGGAAAGTTCATGATAAAGGCTCATAAGCAAACTAAGAGATTCCCACAAGACCCAGACTCAGAATTATGAACAGCAGCTGTCCCAAGAAGATAAGTTTTTCCCTTAATTGAATAAACAGGGTTGCAGGTGGGCTACTCTGCTACATTTTTAGCAAAGGAAATATGATCTGATTTTAACCAGACTGAACAGTACTTCTTAATCACAAGGAATTTTTCTCATAAACCTACTAATAAAATGACAAAACTGTCTCACTAAAATTCAGATTTCAGAGATAATATATTATTATAATTGATACCAGGAAAAGCAAACAACAGTCAGTATAGGAGCCCTACTACAACATTTCATTTGTAGAAAGTATTTTCTGGAGTCAAGGTCTTTAATTATCAGGGAAAAGGAAAATCCATTGTGCTTTCTAGTTAAAAGGGGGTGGAGTAGATATGTACTTAATTTTGTTTCTAGTTATCTTTTTTGTTATATAAAATTCCACAAGTATACAAAAAAAGAGACTACGGAGTTCTTAAAACTAATTTTTATAAAATCTTAACAAGTTTTTTTATCACTACAGAATAAAATATTGTAAAGCCAAATGAGCCCCTTCTCCCTTATTCCCACTCTCCCAATTTTGCTACTTATCACTCCTATGAAGGAGCTTTATAGAAATATAATCCACATGCCAAAAAATTCGCCCATGTAACATGTTCTATGAAATGCTTTTTAGTATATGTACAAAGTTGTACAACCATATCACAGTCTCATTTTAGAACATTTTCATTACCCCCAAGGTAAGCACCATACCCATTAGCAGTCACTCTCCATTCTTGACCCCTGTCTCCCACCCCAGGCAACTTATGGTTACTAATTTGCTTTCTAGCTATCTAGCATTACCTATTCTTGACTTTTTTTTTTTTTTTTTTTAATTTATTTGACAGACAGAGATCACAAGTAGGCAGAGAGGCAGGCAGAGAGAGAGGAAGGAAAGCAGGCTCCCTGCTGAGCAGAGAGCCCGATGCGGGGCTCAATCCCAGGACCCTGGGATCATGACCTGAGCCGAAAGCAGAGGCTTTAACTCACTGAGCCACCCAGGCACCCCTATTCGTGACTTTTGATAGAAATGGAACAATACAATATATGGTCTTTGTTTCTGGCTTCTTTCATTTAGAATAATGTTTTCCAACTTTACTAATGTCATAGCATATATCAGTTCTCCATTTCTTTTCCACTTCTTTTCACTGCTCAATAATATTGTTATACAGATAAACAACAGTCTATCCATTCATCAGCTAATGGACAGCTGGGTTGTTTTCACTTTTTGGCTATTACGAATAATGTCGTTAGGAACATCTGCATACAACTTTCTTGTGGGCACTAGTTTCTCATTTCGTTTAGGATAAGTACCCAGGAGTGAAATTTCTGGGTGACAAGGTAACTAAATGTTTAACATTTTGAGGAACTGCCCAACTGTTTTCCAAAGTGGCTGCACTATTTTATATCCCAGAAGTAGTGTATGAGGGTTCCAAATTCTCCACATCCTTGACACCTGTTATTATCTTTTTGGTTACAACCATCTGAGTGGAAGTAGGATCTCATGGGATTTTGATTTGAATTTCACCTATATCTAATGATATTTAGCTTCTTTTCATGTGATTATTGATCACTTGTATATATTCTTTGGAGAAAAATCTGTCCAGATCCTTGCCCATTTTTAAATGGGGCTAATAATCTTTTTCCTATTAATTTGTAAGAGTTCTTCATATAATCTGGACACAAGTTCATTATCAGATACATGATCTGTAAATGTATTCTCCCTTTCTGTAGGCCTATTTTTTTATTTTCTTGATTGTGTACTTGGAAGCATGATTTTTTTAATTAGTGAGATCAATTTTATTATTTTTTATTGTCACATACTTTTGGTGTCACATCTTCAACTATTGCTTAATCTTACGAATATTTCTATATAATTATTCTCTAGATCAACAAATGATATTTCATTCCTCAGTATGATCGAAACTATGTTCCAACTAATAGTGATAAGGGTTCCCATTTATCTGCATCATTGCCAAATCTTGGTAATCTCAGACTGTCAATTATTTTGCCAATTGACTATAACTTGCTAGCTCTTATTATTTTAGCTTGCAGACATTTCACAAATTGAATAAGAATGCTGACAATTATATTCTTGAATTTGTGAATTATAAGATTGCAAATGAAGTATATCAGTGACTATTAGACTGTAAGAAAGCTGCTTTCTTCTTTACCCCTAAACAATTCTTATGATTTTTTATATAATAAGGTAATGATTCACTGAAAGCCACGGGAATAAGAAACAAAGAATCCAGACTAAGAACTAACATTATAGAACTTTTGGAGGGTAGTTTTGCTCAAGTGTCTTGAAAGTACAAATAGGTGATATGAAATCCTCAGCAGACCTTTAAAACCCCTTATGTAGCAAATACAAGAATCCAAACCAAGCCACAGGACAAATGACCAAATATTTTCATTCCATTTGCAAAACAAAACAAAACAAAACAAAACATCAGTCTGGATTCTCAATTACTGAAGAAATAGTCAGTGGAGAGGTAGAAAAATTACGATAAACACCACAGAAATTTTACCTGGTAAAGACAGTTCATCAATTATTCTAAAACATTCTACAACAACAGTCCAAAACCATAAAACCAAATGTGTAAATCTAAAGGACCCCAGTACAAATGACATCTTACAATGGGAAGGAACAATGACCTTGTAATTTTAGCATTAAGAAATAAATCTGTAGAGGTGTTAGCCCTCACTCTCAAGGTGTAAAGCTGCAGATCACATTTCTTGTTTGCACTAACAGCTACTCAGGATAGTTTACAGGTAATCTCTAGCTTAACATTTGCCGGAAATCTTGGGAAGAGGAGTAAGAAAAGGATGCCCCATTCTTCAATGAAGGATGCAAATTTTTTTTTTCTAAAAAGTAACTCAAACTTTTTCCTAACTTTGTCTTCTCACCTCAGATGGCAAGGTATGGTGGCTCAGAACTGTGGACAATTTGCAGTTCCATAAGCACGAAGTTAGGACATTCAAAAAATGGTTGAATATAGAGTACCTTTTACATATTACCATGTATTTCAATAAATAGGGAAACTAAAGCGGAGGTCTTTGGTTCTGAGTTTTATCCATACACTGAAATACTCATGGTGTGGGTATGTGTTTTTATAATCTATTTCTTAAATAAAATGTTCATATGGCAAAGGCTTCATTTCAACCTTCTAAACATTCAGTCCAAATAGCAAATTTAGACATCAAATTTAAACGTTGTTCCCAAAAGAACACAAACTACACCTGGAAACCCAAGTTCTGGTTCTGGCTCTAGAAGTGACAGACTTTCAAAAAGTAATCTGACAACTGCGTGCCTCACTGCCCTAACTTGTGAAAATGGGAAAACACAAGAAGGGCGTTAAAATGAACGAGGTATTTTTAAAATGTAGGGGCCTGTAACCTATATTTCTGCTGGGTTTACTTTAGGTTGGGCAGATGTTTGTTTATATAATGGCACTTTATTTTCTGTTAAAGGAAACCCTCGGCTCCATCATCCCACACACAAACTACTTCCGTTCTTACTTGAAAGGAAATTCCTTTTCAAGGTTCACAGTACATTAGAGACAGCTGCATTGCTGAGCTTCCTCCAGAAACTTTAAAAAGCTGCAGATGTAGCCCATGCATGACATGGATCATGGAATGAGACAATCTGAAGCATTCAGATCGCCCCTTCTCTTACCCTCTTTCAATGTTATATTTGCTGGGCTGTTGCTCGCCTACGTTAAGTGGGAGTGTGTGTGTGTGTGTGTGTGTGTGTGTGTGTGTGTGTGTGTGTTTATTTTAAATCAAGTCCCTGAGAGAAGGCAGGAGCTCTCTAAAGTGACTATCTTGAGTGCTAATTTCCAAAGCAAGATAAGGTAAAAAGTACATTTCCAGTTAATGACATTTTAACAACAGACAGTCACTACCTATTAACTTCCAAAGAGGCAATCCTCACACCAACCACACATTCCCTGGCTGTTTCCATATAGCCCTGGAACTCAGAAGTGTTTGTCTGGAAAGCTCAATTCTGAACTAAGAACCAGCAAAAGAAGAATACTAAACTATGATCATAAGAATTCTGCTATGGAACTTTTTCAGCAGAAGCAAAGGAGAGAGTTATTACTCAGTTTATGTTCAGAAAAGTCCCCCAGACCTCTATATGGCCAAAAGACCAACTATCTTAATTGGGAATAACATGCTGAATGTAACTGGAGGTGGGTACAGGGCTCAGGAGCGACCATGCTCTGAAACAATTTCCAGGAACCTACCGGGTGTCCAGTGACTTTTTTGGAGAAAGAAATTAATTAATGCATCTGAGAAAGAAACCAGAAATTTGGGAGTCTCATTTCTGTTTTCCTCTCCCAGAAATCCTTCTGAAGCATTCCAAGTAAGTTAAGACTTAATATCCCTTCATCATTAGGAGCACAATTTTACTAGTGCTAGAACAACTGCTTGATTAAACAACAGGTCCCAGTAATATAACGTTTCCTGAAAGAACAGCTACACTGGATATGTGGTTAAGCCATTTTTGAAACAAATTCTGACAATTCCTTTCAAATACACATTACTAAAATAGGTTCTTCTTCTGGTCAGAAAAGGGAGTTTAGAGGTTCTGTCGGTAGGTAAAGGATGAACTGAAATTTATTAACTCCAATCCAGTGTTTCCCGGACCCCTTGAGGTAGCTTCATCAACT